TTATCAACATGATTAATTTGGCTTGATTTCGGAATTGCACTTTTAGTCCTCCAGGTCTTCCTCCTGGTCTTCCTCCCATTGGGCGTAAGCCCCCTGGTCCTCCTCCTGGAACTCCGCCTGAACTTTCTGATAGTGATTCCGAGGACAGTGCTAATCGACAACGAAAAATACGTTTTGCAGAAGTATTTAATTTTAGATTACCTAATTTTATTTACAGGATGAAGGCCTAGGCGATTTCACTTTGAGAGAAAATACTTCTCTTCTTCAGGGCTTGTCAGGTACTCTGGAATTGTTAACATACTGATTTCTAGCTTCAATACCTACCTCACAAATCCCATTGCCACCTCCTATCAATTTGCCTATATATCCTGGAATGATCCGTCCTAGTTTTCCTGGGGCGCCTCCACCCATGAATGTTCACAGTAAGATATTTCGTCACTAGTATTTTATTGAACATTCTAAATTAATTATTTCTTTTAGGCTCAGGACATGTTCTTTCTGCTCCTCCCAGCCTTACACCTAGACAAGAGTTAAATAAAGAAATAATTGACGCTGCGGTGCGGATGTCCAATAGAAATTCTTCTTTCACGGATAATGCGAATTCATCATCTCTTCTTGGAAGCGGTGGGACTCCAAACTCCTCGCTTGGGACGATTATCCAAGCTAAACCTCAATTAAAGAACCTGATTGGCGATGCTACCAGATTTGTCCCGACTTCTTTAAAAGTTCGTAGAACTACACGTGATGGCCGTGGAAGAATCATATCGGTTGGAGGAGGCATCCCTTCGAGTGGTCCTGGGCTTATTGGTAAGTTTTGCCTTCATCCATCTTCATTCTGTCGCGTACTTTCATATTCTCCAATTGTACTATTTATATTTTAACCGTTTTTTGGTTTACATCTCAGCATAAGCTACTAACTATACCTTTTATTTCTGTTATAATTATGCTTTGGGACGGCTATCTTATTTTTTATATCTTATTCTGTGAGAGATTTTGGTTCCATAAAAATGCGAAAATTGGCTGTCATAATAGTAGGGGCTATCAGAAGACGGACCCATTCATTTATTGTAGCTCAATGTGTATTCAGCCCATATCTTTTTGAATAAATATGATCCTTACTTTTTTTAACAGGGTCTTCCAGTGATGGTCATTCGAGATCGATCGATGGCAAAGCCATTAATGCAAACGCTCAGGCTAGCAAAGATGACGCTTATGAAGAGTTCATGAGAGAAATGGAGACACTCCTTTGAAGCTACTCATTTCTTGCGTTGTATATAAACCTTTCTTTTTAATACTTTTCTCCTCTTCTCACTTATCTATCTTCAGCTATTAGCAGCCTGTATCCACTTAGACGAGCTTTGTGCATTTAAGGCTCATGACATTTGTTTTCTAGGCTCGTTAGAATTTGTTTGGCTTTTTTCAAGCCCAGAAATTCATCATAAAACCGAATATTTCGATTGCTGTTTTTCATAGAGACAAGTTAGTTGAGGCTGAAATGCTATTAATACTTTTTCGCCACTAAAAGACCTTGTGAGTAATTTTTTGGTGCGGTCTGGGGTTGTAACTGCGTTGGTTTGGTAGAGATTAAGGTTTGTATTACCGTATT